GTGTGTGTGTGTGTGTGCGCGCGTGCCCTGTGATGGACTGGTGTCCTGTCCAGGGTGTGTGTGGGTGTGTGTGCCCTGTGATGGACTGGTGTCCTGTCCAGGGTGTGTGTGGGTGTGTGTGCCCTGTGATGGACTGGTGTCCTGTCCAGGGTGTACCCTGCTTTGTGCCCGTTAGTCACTGCGAGAGGCTCTGGCCTTTTGCCCCCAGACTTGGACAAAGCAATGAAATAACGGATGAATGGATTTTCGATTTGGGAGTGCATGCCAAAAACCGCGAACGCTCTGCTCCACTTGGGCTTGTTCGGACTCTCTAGCCACTCTTTGTGAGCTGCTGCCAGAGAAGGCGCGGGCAACGCCGTCCCCTGCCCCCACCCACCGACCTCGCTCTGCTCCTCCTTCTGTTCCAGGTGTTTCCTGCTTCTCCTGCTTGGGCCAGGATGACCCGGCTGCGCTGACCCAGGCCGGCGGGTGCCATGGGGGACGGGGGGGCCCTCCACAGGGAGGGCAACGCCCTCCTGAAGGCCGTCTTCCAGGGCAAGCTGCGCCTGGCCCGGCTGCTGCTGGAGGGGGGCGCCTACATCAACGAGGGCAACGAGCGCGGGGAGACGCCGGTGGCCGCCGCCTGCCTGGCCAGCTACGAGGACCCCCAGAACCGGACCAAGATGGTCCGCTACCTGCTGGAGAAGGGGGCCGACCCCAACATCCCGGACAAGTCGGGCCGGACGGCGCTGATGCACGCCTGCGCCGAGCGGGCGGGCAAGGAGGTGGTCTCCCTGCTCCTGGAGCACGGGGCGGACCCCAGCCTGAAGGACTACTCGGGCTCCTCGGCGCTGGTCCACGCCATCAACAAGGGCGACCGGGAGACGCTGCAGATCCTGCTGGACGCCTGCAAGGCCAAGGGCAAGGAGGTGATCATCATCACCACTGACACCTCCCCCTCGGGCACCAAAAAGACCAAGCAGTACCTCAACTCCCCCCCCTCGCCGGGCGTCGACGACAGGCTCTCGCCGGGGGGCTGCATGTCGCCCTCCGAGGTGGAGATCCGCACCTCGGCCTCGCCGGGCAGCGAGAAGGAGGAGGAGGAGGGCATCTTCAGCTTCGCCCTCACCTCCGCCCTCCCCCTGCCCTCCGCTCGGCCGCCGGGGGACAGGAGAGCCCCCCCCCCGCACAAGCTGCTGAAGAGGCTCAACTCCGAGCCCTGGGGGCTGGTGGCTCCCTCGGCGCTGAGCGGCGGCCCCCCCGACAGGCCGGAGAGGGAGGGGGAGGCCGTGGCGGAGTCGGAGGAAGGCGAGAGGGTCGTCTCGGAGATGAACGGCCTGAGCGTCTCCGGCCCCAGCCGGCCCGTCCTGTCCCGTAGGCACAGCATCGAGACCCACGACCCCTGTTCCCCCATGCTCAAGGACCGCTCCTGCTCGGAAGACTGCGCCGCCCTCTATGGCTCCTCTTGGGCCGACAAGGTCCAGCAGCACCAGGTGCTCTACCGGAGGAACACCGCCCCCGAATCCCAGGAGGCAGCTGGCTCGGCGCCGGCTGGGGCCCGGGGTGGCGTGGCCCACCCCAAACTGACCCGGATGGACCACTACGAGTCCGACACCCACCTCTGCCCGGAGTCCATCCCCGGATCCCCCGATTCCGGCCGGGTTTCGGTGGAACGCCGCAAGTACAACGCCTCCCCCCTCTCCTTGCTCACCAGCTCCTCCCGGGAATCCCTGGAGAGCATCCCCAATTCCGTCTCGCCCCTCACCATGCGCAGGAGACCCCCGGGGCTGCTGGAGCGCCGGGGGTCCGGCACGCTGCTGCTGGACCACATCTCCCACACCCGCCCCGGGTTCCTGCCCCCGCTGAACGTGAACCCCCAGAGGCCCATCCCCGACATCCGGGCCAACGGGAGACCCCCCTCCCCCGTGCACTCAGGCCACAAGATCCTGGTGCCGGTGGCGCCCAGCTCCCCCAAGCGTGGCGAATCCAAGCTGAAGAAGAAGCTGACAAGGAGGCACTCCATGCAGACGGAGCAGATGAAGCAGCTCTACAACTTCCAGGAGATTCTGGCCGAGAAGATGATCGAGTTCACAGGGGACTGAGCGCCCCCCCGCGGAGACGGCCCCCGTCTCTCAGCCGGGTCTCCTTCGGATTCTAGGACCCACATTCCTGCTGACCCGCTTTTCCACAGAAACCTTTCTTCACAGACCCTGGAATAGGACCAACACTTGTACACCGAAACCCCCCGGAGGGATACCCGAACTAGGATCAACGTCTCTGCTCGCTTTTTCTGGGAGGAAACCTGAAATTGCAGGAGCTGTCCCAGAAGCTGAAATTCCCAGAAAGTCCCCTGAAATCCCGGGAGCTGTCTGGATGAAAATTCCAGAGCTGTTCGGTTTGGCGAACCGGTTCATCCGGTAGCAATTTTTTTCCTATCTGGCCTCCAAGCAAAGGTGATCTGTGACGCAAGCTGAAAAACAAATTGGCTTCCAGTTTCTTTTTTTTCTGTCCTGAAAAAGCTAATTTCCAGAAGTAACTGAACGGAGGGTTATCAGGTTATATGAAGAGTCTAGCAGACACGATCAGCAGTTCCTTGCATTTTGTCTTTGGCACTTTAAATAGTGGGGGGAGGTGGAACATAAATTTTATGCTATATGCAAATATATTTAAATCCCACAGCACACTGCAGTGCTACAAGAATTGTACTGAATGTCTTGCCAAACCAGGGTGAGGGATAAAGGTTTTTTGTGTGTAAGAGTAGATTTTTTTTAACCCTTTTCCCAGAGTAAATGGGAAAACCCCCCAAACTGAGATTTCGGCCATGATCAAGAAGCTGAGGGCCAAACCCGGCCCCTGCCAGTCAGGCTCACGTGCGAAAGGGACATGTGTCCGCGAGGGAGGGCGTTTTTTAAGGTGAGGAAAACAAAGGCCACAGTCCTCCAAAGTCAGGGAAAGCTTACTCTCACACCTTCGTTCTGAGGCTCTGCCGATCGGGATGTTGAGAACGATCCCAGAGTTCACCCTCGCCTGATCGTCTGCAGGTGATGGAGTTGTGCAGCCCGCTGGGTGAAGGATCTGGCCCGTGCAGAGCGCAGGAGATTCGGAATGGGTAGGGCTGCACGACGGCACAGTGAGGAGGTGCTGGGATGAATTTTGGTGGAGACAAGCACCTCGAGAGCAATGGGGAATGCCCAGGATGGCAGAGAACGTAACCCTAGATGTACTGGGAGAGACGAGTGACGTAGATGGAGAGGTGGGGGCTTACAGTTGTAACTTGTACCAAAGACCTCAGGGGAGCTCGAAGTAAGACATGGTCTCCGCTGAGGAGTTCCCAGTCCCTGTCCTGCTGAACCCACACTCCTGCCAGGATCTGCTCCAGCCCACCTCCGTCTCACAATCAAACCCTTAATTGATTTAATAACTGGATGAACTTGAACGGTTTGGCCATTTTCAGCTCTTAAACATGTTGAAGGGTGCTCTGTATTTATTGCTTTTCCTAAGCAAGATGAAACTGGCAGATGTTCCAATCAAACAACCCATTAGTTCAGGAGTGAAGCTGGGCTGGAATGAAAACCCTGGAGGCGCGTGGGCCTCCAGGAGCAGGATTGGGAACTGCTGAGCTAGAGCAAGTGTCGGCTGCTAACAGGCTGAGGCAACTGTGTGATCCCAGATTTTCACTTGCTGATGTATTCGTGTATTGATTGATCAGCTCACTATTCCTGCTGTTACGCTGGATTTTGTTTGCAGGTGGTGCTTTGGCCCTTTGGAGGACTTAGCCTTCCAATTCCTTCTTGCCTCATCCATCGGGAATAAGATGTTTTCGAGAACAAGCAAGGTGCGAGGGTCCGTGCACGGACCGAGGTGATCACCCAGCAATCGGCATTCACACCAGGACACTGCTCGGGACGAGCTTCGGGAGCAGTAGGGATGCGAGGGTGATGCTGGGGTGGGCCAGGCACGCTCAGATCATTTCAGATCGCCCCCCCCCCGCCAACCCCCCAGGGACATTTCCACTGCCCCTCCCCCTCTGAAATCTTGCAATCCTTTCCTGGAGACCAAAAACCTCCCTCCTCAGGAACTGCAGACCTGTGGCTGGTGTGTCCCCCTGCACCGACGCTCTCTGGGACCGGCCCAGACTGGACGATTCTTCCATTAGCAGTGAAGTAAAAGTGCAATTCCTTTGGGAATCTCCCGCCCCTCTCTCTCCCTCTGGCAAATTCCAAGGGCAATCCAAAATCCAACATTTCCTTCTAGTCTGGGGGTCCAACTGTACAAGACCAGCCCTGACTGTGAGTCAGTTCGACTGGCTTGTCCATTTCCTCGCACACCGAGACCAGCATGTGTGGGGTAAATTGTATATAGTGTATCAAATACAAGAGTAATTAAGTGTTTTATATCCAATGTATAAGTGCAATATCCTTCACTGCTGTACCGAATCAAATCTTCCACATGACATCAGTGCACATTGGAATCGTTTTTTATTTTAATTTGTTTCAATTTACCGAAGTGGTCAAAACAGGGAAGGCCCCTGAAGTGAAACGTGTTACACCTAGAGGATTTTCCTAGTGCATTTCACTTTTTAACATAGTTTAACGTCAGTTAACTGTTCAAGTCATCAAAACCTACGTTTGAGCCATTTCAGGTGAAAGGTCGCAAGTGGCCTGTCTAACTCTTTTGGATGTGTTGAGGATTTGTTCCAGCCATTACTTGAACAATCCCAGGGAATCACCCCCAACAGCATGGCTGGGCACCTTGTTCCAGACACCCACCACCCTTTGTGTAAAGCAATGCTTGAATTCAGTCCTCAATACCCAGACTCGTATGTTCCACTGGTGAGCTGAGGTCCCAGTTTATTCTGAGGTAGGTTTCTGAGTTGGAGCTGTCTTAATTATTAGGAATCTACATGCTTAGTGACCGAAAATTAGATCCGTTGCTGATCTTTGATCTCATCCCAATGCCGCAATGTCAATTTTGATCTGTGGTGAAAACAATACTCTAAATAAGGTGTTACCAGTTACACTTTCCATTAGAATTCCTGTTGTTCAGTTGGCCTTTTGAGTGGATAAAGTCACTGACACCAAAATCCTCTTCAGAAGTGACAACCTGAAGCCCAAGCCCCACCCATCTTGTGTTTCATGGACTAACCAGGACAGAGGTGGCCTGAGTTTGCCTGTGAGAAACAGAACCAATGATATAGTTTGATTTGACCGAGTTTTGATTTAGGGATGACAGCCAAGTTCAATTAGACTCAGCTGTCAATAATTTGCAATCACCCCTGACGTCTTTTCCTATCCTAAACACTATAAATACTGTATGTGATCCCTTTCTCTCCCATGCACGTCTTTTGACTCCCTCTTCAGTCTCCCTCCACTATCCTTCCAGTTGTCTCCCACATAAGATGCCTTTGTTATAGATTGAGTAAAAAAATCCTCCTCAAATACTCCACTAACAGACAACATCCCAGACATTCCAAATCTGTCCTGCCCCTTTCCACCTGATTCTAAATGATGTCTATTTGTTTGGCAGCAGAAGAGATTCCAGACAATACTTGCCAGAGCAGTACTCCACTGCCACTGGTCTAGTCAATGGTCTATCAAGCTGTGGCTCTTCCAGTCCGTTCCATTACAGAACTCCCGATCCAGCCAAACACCAGCGAAGCACAGGAGGCTGGAGTGAAAGTCTGTAATGTAGCAGTTGTGAGAGGGAGTTCTGCGAGTTCGGCAGCCCCATTCTTGTAAAACAGACCAGACGTCTGGTGCTCTTGAATCACACTCTCCCACAGAGGCCTCAAAATCAATTCCTGGCAGGACCTGGGAGCTTTTGGATCTTGGTTCTACCTGAGCTCTGTCTTATGTAGTTGGTCTAATTATCTAATTAACAGCATAATTGTAAATACTTCTAACCACGCTTAAAAGCGTTTTATAGGTGATTGAACTTTTACGGATGTGCATTTTTTTCAGTAATCACCTGTCATAGACCTTAGCAAACACCCGTTAAGCGTCTGACTAAAAAAAAAAAGTTAATCGTTTAATTGACTGCTCAGGTTGGAACAAAATCCAGAAGATACCAGGTCTTCCAGGAGCTGAGTGGGACTTCCTCGCTGTACCACATCTTAGGAATAATAAGTTCGAATAAATGTGTGTTCAGGGAACTAGGTCCTCTGTGGAATATTTATTACATCCGAATAAATAAGGGAGCAATAGCTCTGCTATTTCGCACACAACTCCCGATGGTCAGATACCGTATGTCAGTGGTTCCCAGTCCTGGGCCTGGTGACCCCCACACACCTGCTGGGGTTTGTTCCAGCCGAGCCCTCAGTGACACAGTCAGACCCTTCATCGACTTCAGGAGATTCATCTGAAATGTTTTTTCACCCCAGCTCTTATGTTGGAGCTTCAACAGTCGTATTTTGTAAATTAAATAAAATCCCAAAAGTTGCGACTTGAAACAAAACGCGAATATTTCAAATAAGCACCTTCTTAGATCAATGAAGGCTTCAGTGATCTAATGACCGTAGGCTGGAATGAGAACCAGCAGGTGAGAGGGCACCAGGAAGAGAACTAGGAGCCCCTCTTGCATGTATACTGACTTTGCATCTTCATAAGTGCCAACGTTTACACGAGAGATAAATGAAATCATTTTAAAATAGAGGACTATTTCTTAAAGATGACCACAGGCTGGACAGAAATCGTTGCGATGGAGGGACAGATCACATGAACCCAGTGGTTTTGATCCAAGGTGAGTGGAAGTCAATGTCAGTTTCAGGTACAACCAAACACCAATCCTGACAGGAGGGATTGTAAAAAAAAAATATTATGAGTGTGAGGAATTTGTCTGTCCAAGTCTGCTGTCTTGAAACAACAACAAAAACTGTTGAAGAGGTCCAATCTGTTTCAAGATAACTGCTGCTGTGTCGATGAAATAATTTGTAAAGTGCTGCTGACAAAGGTAAAGGTGTTTATGTGGTTAAATATGTATTAGAAGCTTAAAGCAAAGAAAAAAGAAGTGCTATTTTTCTAATGCTCATTAGGAAATTGTACAGTTACGTCAATTTGCTGTGATCCTTTACAATTTTCGCGCTGTATCAAATGACAACTTGATTGTACCATAAATGTGAGTTAATAAGTATTGATTTTAACCTTTCTTGCCTCACTTTATTTCTCAAATGAGAATTCCAGAGCCGGTTTCTAAGACATTTAAGATTGCACCAAAAAAAAAACAAACCCGGCAGACTTTTCAGAAACGGTACCAGAACGGTACTCTTGCCAAAGGGTTTTGACAAACTGAGGACATGTATTCCATGGATATGTTCATTTGGTCTTATTATGAGGAAATATGTTGCCCTATGAGACAAGTTCTTGCTGGCAGTTCTTGCTGGCAGTGAAACAGTCATCTGAGTTCAGATGCGCTGTCAGGATGCGATGCTGGGTTCCAAGACAGATGCGAAACCATTGTGACCAAGACATTGCAATGAGATCAATGCAGTGGGTCTAATAAGCATCTCAACACCATGTGTGTGTGTATATATATATAATGTTTTGTAGGTGTACAGTATGTGCAATAGATCTAAACCTTGGGGATTCTCCAGACTTGCTCCTGGGTAGCTCCAGTCCAGCTAGTCTTATACAGTAAGTCACCCTAAATCAGAGGTCTCCACACCAGTCCTGGACAGCCCCAGTCCCCCAGTGCCCAGTGAAGATGATGATTATATACAATGTCAGCAGTAAGTGTCTGAACACCAGCTGTTTCTATACAGTGTCAGTAGTGTCTGAACACCAGGTGATTATATACAGTGTCTACAGCAAGTTTCTGAATACCAGGTGTATATATAATGTATATATAATGGCTTCAATAAGTGTCTATGCAGTGGTGTATAAGTGTTATTTAAACAGATGCTCAGTGTTCATGGTACAGTATACATTCCCAGTGTACAATTACTTATTGTAGCCGTTTTAGAAGGGAAGTTTTTGGAAAGCTAGAAAAGTCCATAACTGCATAAAAACCTACCTGGTTTACCGCACCGCTTCCACAGCTCTCCCGCACCGTCGCCAGACAACAGCAGCCCCACGCGAAGGAAGGAGGTGGGGAGAGGAATGAGAGTGGAGCTCCCTCTTGTGGTCGTGCTCCATTATTACATCCTAAAGGTTGAATTTCGGCGCAGTGTGTCGGGATACAACGAGGCATCGTCTAAAGTTGATCTGAGACTGCAATATTTGTCATGTTGGAATCTTAGTTAATCCCCAACCCAAAGAGAGGATTTTCAGTTTGAAGGACCCGTATACTATACCATAAGGTATAGTTATTTTTTTTCTCCCTGAAGTGCTATACAGAAAACCGAGGCTTCACATGTGTGCTGGGAAACTGAAGTCCTCTTTGCTACGAATGCGGCGTTTACGCTTAAGCGACAGGCCGCGTTGCTATAGAGACAACGCAGGCCTCACAACACCAGAACAGATGACTCCGACACCTGCAGAAACCAACAGGAAGAAGAATGGTGTAAAAATTAATCCGCAGACCCCGTCCCTGGAGAACAAGAGACGCTGCCAGACCTGGGGGCAAGAGAACGTTTCAATGCCTGTCTTCCCTCAGCCTCCTAATGGAAGATTTGAAGCAGTGCAGATTTAACAACCCTTTCTGGCACATGGGGGTACAACTGCAGTCCTGGTGGTCCAAACGCCAACAGGACCTGCATCTTTCTGCCGAGGTCCACAACGATTTGGAAAAGTCCCAAGTTAAAACCAAGCTTTGGCTGGATGTGCGACGTATAGTATTTCTTCCACGTTAAATCACAACATTCTTTCAGCTGTGGAAATCGGACAGGATTAGGAAACACCGCCATCTACTGGAAAACTGCCTTGCAACAGCTCGCATTTTTAAAATTAATTCCTTAATATAGCGCTTTTCTAGACACTCCACTCAAAGTGCTTTACAGGTAATGGGGATCCCCTCCACCACCACCAGTGTGCAGCCCCACTTGGATGATGCGATGCCAGCCTTAGTGTGCCAGCCACAGTACGCTCTCCATACACCAGCGCTCAGTGGGCAGGAGAAATGACCAACTCTGCTAAGAATACAGCTCTCATGAATGAAGGTTTGGGTCAGCTTATAATGTACATTTGCTCGGTGGTTAGCCTTGCAGCGTTGGGGTCCTGGGTTCAGTTAAAGACCTGGGTGCTGTCTGTGTGGAGTTTGCATGTTCTCCCTGGGTTTGCGTGGGTTTCCTCCAGGTGCTCCGGTTACCTCCCACAGTCCAAAGCAATTCTAACAGGCTAGGGAATGTGCCTGTATCTTGTGTGTGGCCCTGTGATGGACTGGTGTCCTGTCCAGGGTGTACCCTGCCAGTGCCAGTCGCTTGCCAGGATGGGCTCCTGCTGCCCGGCAGAATTGAATTGGATAAGCAGCTGGAATACGAATGGATGGGTAGTCCTGGCATTTTCAGTCTACTCCTGACATTTTTAATTCTCTCCAAACACGATGCCGCAGTCGTCTACTTGTTTTTTCTTAATTCCATTGCCCATGACTTCCCAGCACATTTTTAATTCCACGTGGTCTGTCACTAATTTGCCACTCGGGGCAAGTGTGCTTGTGAAAACAGCAGCACTTCTGTATGGCAGGTAACCATACTCCAGATAATTTACCTGCAGGGAGAGGCAGTATACTCTGGGTCACTGATGCCTAAATAAATCTCTCTCAACGCTCTCACAACACGAGTGGGGGTGGGTGGAGGAGGTGGAAAGTAACATTAAGAGATTGCAATCCTTCCTTTCAGGGCAGTGCACACAATGTTTCACCCAGACTCTCTTCATTTCTTGCTTTGAAAAATGCATAAGAAGAATGCAAAAAAAAAAGTACAGCTACAAAACAGCAGTGCAGAAGGATCAGATTTTCCTGAAGAAACACGAAACTGAGCCTGCTGGTGTTACGATCGTATAGCAGAACCCACTCCTCTCTCGCCAACACCTCCCGGTCTCTGACTGGAGAAGGGCGCAGGTGTGATTAAGCACTGAAAGGAGTACACAGATGTCTGACTAGGCTAGACCCCAGATTAAGGCAAGACTTTATTTACCAGCCAGGTGCAAAATTACAAGCGGAGAGCCTCTAGCGATGAGGGAAAAAAAAGAGAGAAACCTTTGTCCCAGTGAGGCAGCTTGGATCTGAGCCTTTGAAAGCAACTCATTAACTGTGGTTTGCAAATTAGGGAAGTGTGTTTGTTTAAATCCGATCTGGAGGGATCGTGTTTCCTGGTGTTCATGTCAGCTGGGAACGTTGTTCTCTGGTGCTCAGCGACGTGTGCAACCGATCAGCTTGCTTGTTTTGTTTTCCTGCACTCCCTTTTCCCACAGCTGCCAGGTCACAGAACCTGCACAGGGTTTGTACAGCTTGGGAAATAAGAATGTCTGATTCTGAAGAATGCGTTTTAAGATTTGGGGGGATTTGATGTAGCCAGAGTGAGCGGTAAACAGTAAGGGACCCCCTTCGAAGTCCGAGCTCCTCACATCACAGAAGCTAAGCAATAGAGGGGGAAAGATGCCCTATCAGGCCACCAGGGGGCACCCTGTCCAACTTGCAGAACCACACTTTCTGCAGCAATACCCTAGCATGCCAGCAGGAGGTGCTGTTGCGAACATTTAACAATACTACAGATTATTGAAGACCCCTGGTGTTGCAACTAAAATGATCGGGCCTGTTTTAAGTCTATCCTCCTTTTAGTGTAAAATGTCATCATAAGGATACAGTTGGGTCTGGACATTCACACACAACCAACTCCACCCCTATAGTGGTGCATAATACACTACAGTATATAGTGTTGTATGGTTAAAGACATAAGTAACACTCTCTTATATGGTAATTGAAGTACTACTGCACTGGCTTGAAGTCATTCCCTACCCTGCTGACACAGAACCTGGAGCGTTCCTTACACGTGCAGACACCAGGCCAGGCTGAGGTGGGGATGTGGGGCAGGGGGCAGGGGGAGGCTCCATCACACTAGATTGGTCTCAGGATCCGAGTCTGTGGCGCCACCGCTTCGAAAGCTGGGCTCAACCACCCGCAGCCCGGTGTCACCCCACTCTCCTCGTCTTCCGTACAAGGCCCCCATCGGCCAGCCTGAATCGCGTGTGAAGCCTGTAGACCCTACTGCAGAAACCTATCCTGGATCCGCGGGGATGTTCCCGAGGTGTGCTGTAGGCAGCTGAAGCTTGGCAGGGCTACGGGAGTGGAAGTGATTCTCTTAGAGGCAGAAGGAGCAAGTGGAAATCTGAAGGCCTGTCCTAGAAACTGGGGTGCTGTCGGATT